TGAGGAATTTTCTGATATACCCCAACCTGAAACATTATTCAATATATCAACAGATATACCTATATTTAATATTCCAGAAATTGTTACACTTCCCAAATCAGAAAAAAAGATAACAGAACCATTAGCCACTGATCATATCGAAAAAGGTAAGAAAATACCAGTTACTAAAATGACCCAGGACCTCTTCGATTATATAATAGAGAAAAATTCAATTGTTTGTCATCCAAGTCTACCGATATATCTCTGTCCCCCGAGATTAAATATGTGGAATCAGACGACAAACCCAAATCTCCTGAGATTATTGAAATAGTAAATAATGATCCTGATTTATTAGTAAATGATGAGCCTGAATTATCCCTTGACAAACCCAAAATTAGTAATAAAGAAACACCCACCCAGATATCATACCCACCAGGATATCAAACCAGGGAGCAGCGAGAGATACATCTTCGTGAAAAATCTATTGAGCTTGGTGAAGATCCAGATATATTTGTTACCATAACTGAAAAAGATAGGCTTGACTCTATAGCATTCCGTGATAGAATGCAGACTGACGCAAGAATGTGTGGTTATGCAAAGAAGACAGAAGAAGATCCCAGTGAATATATGGACATGACAGTATGAGAAAGATTAATAAGTAAAGAGATAATTCGTCGTTCTTTTGAAGAAGATGGAATCACCTCATCATGGCTCGACACCAATAAGGAATGGAAAAAAATGGTTAACATACTCCAGGAAAATGGTATGTTATGGTAAGATTACTATATATACTAAGGAGTGAATAGGTGAGTTTTTTAGGTAGGAGCTTCGATATAGAGGTTTTTTGCTCCTACAATCTAGCCAATATAAAATTTTCCAGATAAAAATATTATGCAAAACTCTGTATTATATATGTTCATATATACTAGTTTTTATGACTTCTAAAATTGATATTTGGTAAAATTTTAGTTAATTCACCATCCTCAAATTTAATTTTAAATATGAAAGTATGAATAGAATAATATAACCATTTTGTGGTATCGAATCAAAATGCCTTGTAATTGGTTATTAGTTAAAGATGCCAATTTATGTAAAAACTTAGCAAAAAGGCAATATTGCGCTTCTTATACATTCAAAATTCAAAATGGTGTAATAATTCCAAAACTGTGTAAAGGATGTGGGCAAGAGACTATATCAGCGTCCAGCTTTGTGTCTCATATAGACAAGTTAATGAAAGAGTATACAGATATTATAAACAGAAATGCGAAGAAAAAACCCACCTTCTCGGTCTATAACCTTGAAGTCAGAAAATAATTGTTTATCTATTTTTGTGGATATATAGTTACTGTACAACTGTCTTTAACAAACCGATCATGAATGTAGTAAATTGTTGGGATAAGTAATATTATTTATTTTTCATATATAATCTGAGTCCTTTAAAAATAATTAATTAAACTTATCATTTTTATAAGTAACAATCAACTATTATCATTTTCATAAGTAGTAGCATATATATTATATATATCCAAGAGCTGGAATATAACAAAGAAATGATTCTAGCAAAATTTTAGCAAATTGCATATAATGAATTCATTCCAGTTGGCTTTAAGCAAAATTTCTAACAAGCTCAGTTTCATATCAATTTTTGTAAGAAGACTTTTTTCTGCAACAATATCCCAAATCTTATTGGATACAAAAGATAGACATTTTCTTAGTATTGGTATTTTATTAAATGGTGGAATCAAAAGACTTTCTTCTCTCCAATGTATATAATTATCGCGTAATAGTCTATTATATTCAGGCCCATTGATTGCAATCATATGATTAGTTTTTGGGTTATAAATTTTTAGCTTCCTCGAACGCTTAGCCAATTTGAATAACTCATCTGAGGTAATCATTTCTTTGTTATATTCCAGCTCTTGGATATATATAATATATATGCTACTACTTATGAAAATGATAATAGTTGATTGTTACTTATAAAAATGATAAGTTTAATTAATTATTTTTAAAGGACTCAGATTATATATGAAAAATAAATAATATTACTTATCCCAACAATTTACTACATTCATGATCGGTTTGTTAAAGACAGTTGTACAGTAACTATATATCCACAAAAATAGATAAACAATTATTTTCTGACTTCAAGGTTATAGACCGAGAAGGTGGGTTTTTTCTTCGCATTTCTGTTTATAATATCTGTATACTCTTTCATTAACTTGTCTATATGAGACACAAAGCTGGACGCTGATATAGTCTCTTGCCCACATCCTTTACACAGTTTTGGAATTATTACACCATTTTGAATTTTGAATGTATAAGAAGCGCAATATTGCCTTTTTGCTAAGTTTTTACATAAATTGGCATCTTTAACTAATAACCAATTACAAGGCATTTTGATTCGATACCACAAAATGGTTATATTATTCTATTCATACTTTCATATTTAAAATTAAATTTGAGGATGGTGAATTAACTAAAATTTTACCAAATATCAATTTTAGAAGTCATAAAAACTAGTATATATGAACATATATAATACAGAGTTTTGCATAATATTTTTATCTGGAAAATTTTATATTGGCTAGATTGTAGGAGCAAAAAACCTCTATATCGAAGCTCCTACCTAAAAAACTCACCTATTCACTCCTTAGTATATATAGTAATCTTACCATAACATACCATTTTCCTGGAGTATGTTAACCATTTTTTTCCATTCCTTATTGGTGTCGAGCCATGATGAGGTGATTCCATCTTCTTCAAAAGAACGACGAATTATCTCTTTACTTATTAATCTTTCTCATACTGTCATGTCCATATATTCACTGGGATCTTCTTCTGTCTTCTTTGCATAACCACACATTCTTGCGTCAGTCTGCATTCTATCACGGAATGCTATAGAGTCAAGCCTATCTTTTTCAGTTATGGTAACAAATATATCTGGATCTTCACCAAGCTCAATAGATTTTTCACGAAGATGTATCTCTCGCTGCTCCCTGGTTTGATATCCTGGTGGGTATGATATCTGGGTGGGTGTTTCTTTATTACTAATTTTGGGTTTGTCAAGGGATAATTCAGGCTCATCATTTACTAATAAATCAGGATCATTATTTACTATTTCAATAATCTCAGGAGATTTGGGTTTGTCGTCTGATTCCACATATTTAATCTCGGGGGACAGAGATATATCGGTAGACTTGGATGACAAACAATTGAATTTTTCTCTATTATATAATCGAAGAGGTCCTGGGTCATTTTAGTAACTGGTATTTTCTTACCTTTTTCGATATGATCAGTGGCTAATGGTTCTGTTATCTTTTTTTCTGATTTGGGAAGTGTAACAATTTCTGGAATATTAAATATAGGTATATCTGTTGATATATTGAATAATGTTTCAGGTTGGGGTATATCAGAAAATTCCTCA